AAATAACGCCGAAAAAACACTTGAAGAGGTCGAAGTCAGCAACAGGAACTCTTTAGGGAACAATCGAAATGCTCAGGAAAGTGTAAAATGTAAAATTCATATGGGAGAGTACTGAAAAATTGAACTTTTGGAAACATTGCCTAAAGGGAATTGCCAAATCCAAATTTCTCTACAAAAATTTACCATTTTGAAAATGTTTTAAGTTTCTTGTTATGAAAAGAAGATTGGAGATATTAAAAAAGCAAGGCTAAATATAAGCCCCGCCCACCCGCCCGATCGCAGTTGTGATGATTTTCTCTCATTCGTTGTGAGCCGGGAGGAGGGGCTTAATTACAAAATCCACAGTTTTCTACAAAAATTTATCATTTCAATTTTTTTTAATGAAACCAGTTATGAATAACATGCATGTAAAAAATTAGTAAAAAATAAACAAAGTAGAAAAGTTTTTACATTATAAAAACGTATTGTGTATTCAAAATTCAAAGACCACTCAAAAAGGCCAAAGGTTAAGCCCCACCCACCCCTATCAACAAAAAACGCTGAGTAATTTTCGAAAAAGCTCGGGAAAAGGTCAAAATCTTCATAGGACAAGGTTTTGAAAAATTGAGCTTTTGGGAAATTTGACTAAAAATCCATAAAAAAATCTTAGATGTAGATTTCGACAAGTTCAATCAAAATGTATAGCGCTTTAATAGTCCTGCGCCAAGACCTCCGAAGTATTCGGTTTCAGAGTCAATTTTTTAAAATATCTCAAAAATCCTATTATTTCATTTTGCGAATCTGGAAAAATAGTTGAAATTTTAGAGGAAATAAAGCCGAAAAACACTTAAGGAGGTCGAAATCAGAAAGAGGATCTCTTGAGAAATTTCGAAATGCTCAGGAATATGTCAAAAATTTCATATGGGAAGGTATTCAAAAATTGAATCTTTGGAAAAATTACTTAAAAATACTTGAAAATATCACAGAAATAGCTCTCGACAAATTCGATCGAAACATAGAGTTCTGATAGTCTTGCATCAAGATTTTCAAAGTATTCGGTTTCATTTTGACGATTCTGGAAAAATACTTAAAATTGTAGAAGAAATAAAGCTTGAAGAGGTCGAAATCAGCAATAGGAACTCTCTAGAGAACAATCGAAATGCTCAGGAAAATATCAAAAATTTCATAAGAGAAAACTGAACTTTGCAAAAATTGATTTAAAATTCAAAAAAAATTTAGGAAATAGATCTTGACAAGTTCGATCGAAAAGTATAGCGTTTTTGGTCCTGGACCAAGATTTCGAAATTTGGGTTTCAGAATCAGATTTTTAAAATATGTCAAAAATCATAATATTTCATTTTGGCGATTCGGGGAAAATAGTTGGGAGTATAATTTTAGAAGAAATAACGCCGAAAAAACACTTGAAGAGGTCGAAGTCAACAACAGGAACTCTTTAGAGAACTATCGAAATGCTCAGGAAAGTGTCAAAAATGTCATGTGGGAGAGTACTGAAAAATTGAACTTTTGGAAACATTGCCTAAAGGGAGGAGGAGCTTAATTGCAAAATCCACATTTCTCTACAAAAATTTACCATTTCAGATTTTTTTAATGAAGCCAGTTCTGAATAACATGCCTGTAAAAAATTAGTAACAAATAAACAAAGTAGAAAGGTTTTTAGATTATAAAAACGTATTATCTGTTCAAAATTGAAAGACCACTCAAAAAAACCAAAGATTAAGCCCCACCCACCCCAATCAACAAAAAACGGTGAGTAATTTTCGATAAAAGCCCGGAAAAAGGTCAAAATCTTCATACGACAAGGGTTTGAAAAATTGAGCTTTTGGGAAAATTGACTAAAAATCCATAAAAAATCTGAGATGTAGATCTCGACAAGTCAATCAAAAAGTATAGTGCTTTTATAGTCCTGCATCAAGACCTTCGAAGTATTCGGTTTCAGAGTCGATTTTTTAAAATATCTCAAAAATCCTATTATTTCATTTTGCGAATCTGGAAAAATAGTTGAAATTTTAGAGGAAATAAAGCCGAAAAACACTTAAGGAGGTCGAAATCAGAAAGAGGATCTCTTGAGAAATTTCGAAATGATCAGGAATATGTCAAAAATTTCACATGAGAAGATATTCAAAAATTGAATCTTTGGAAAAATTGCTTAAAAATACTTCAAAATATCACAGAAATAGCTCTCGACAAATTCGATCGAAACGTTGAGTTCTGATAGTCTTGCATCAAGATTTTGAAAATATTCGGTTTCATTTTGACGATTCTGAAAAAATACTTGAGATTTTAGAAGAAATAAAGCTTGAAGAGGTCGAAATCATCAATAGGAACTCTCTAGAGAACAATCGAAATGCTCAGGAAAATATCAAAAATTTTATAAGAGAAAACTGAACTTTGCAAAAATTGATTAAAAATCCTTAAAAAATCTAGGAAATAGATCTTGACAAGTTCGATCGAAAAGTATAGCGTTTTTGGTCCCGGACCAAGATTTCGAAATATTCGGTTTCAGAATCAGATTTTTAAAATATGTCAAAAGTCGTAATATTTCATTTTGGCGATTCAGGGAAAATAGTTAGGAGTATAATTTTAGAAGAAATAACGCCGAAAAAACACTTGAAGAGGTCGAAGTCAGCAACAGGAAGTCTTTAGAGAACTATCAAAATGCTCAGGAAAATGTCAAAAATGTCATATGGGAGAGTACTGAAAAACTGAACTTTTGGAAACATTGCCTAAAGGGAGGAGGAGCTTAATTGCCAAATCCATATGTCTCTACAAAAATTTACCATTTTGAAAATGTTTTAAGTTTCTTGTTATGAAAAGAAGTTTAGATATATTAAAAAAGCAAGAATAAATATAAACCCCGCCCACCCGCCCGATCGCAGTTGTGATGATTTTTCTCATTCGTTGTGAGCCGGGAGGAGGAGCTTAATTTCAAAATTCACATTTTTCTACAAAAATTTACCATTTCAATTTTTTTTAATGAAACCAGTTCTGAAAAACATGCCTGTAAAAAATTAGTAACAAATAAACAAACTAGAAAGGTTTTTAGATTATAAAAACGTATTATCTGTTCAAAATTGATAGACCACTCAAAAAAACCAAAGATTAAGCCCCACCCACCCTAATCAACAAAAAACGGTGAGTAATTTTCGAAAAAACTCGAGAAACGGTCAAAATCTTCATACGACAAGGTTTTGAAAAATTGAGCTTTTGCGAAAAATTACTTAAAAATACTTCAAAATATCACAGAAATAGCTCTCGACAAATTCGATCGAAACGTAAGAGTTCTGATAGTCTTGCATCAAAATTTTCAAAATATTCGGTTTCATTTTGACGATTCTGGAAAAATACTTGAAATTTTAGAAGAAATAAAGCTTGAAGAGGTCGAAATCAGCAATAGGAACTGTTTAGAGGACTATCGAAATGCTCAGGAAAATATCAAAAATTTCACAAGAGAAAACTGAACTTTGCAAAAATTGATTAAAAATCCTTAAAAAATATAGGAAATAGATCTTGACAAGTTCGATCGAAAAGTATAGCGTTTTTGGTCCTGGACCAAGATTTCGAAATATTGGGTTTCAAAATCAGATTTTTAAAATATGTCAAAAATCGTAATATTTCATTTTGGCGATTCTGGGAAAATACTTGAAATTTTAGAAGAAATAAAGCTTGAAGAGATCGAAATCATCAATAGGAACTCTCTAGAGAACAATCGAAATGCTCAGGAAAATGTCAAAAATTTCATTAGAGAAAACTGAACTTTGCAAAAATTGATCAAAAATTCTTAAAAAAATCTAGGAAATAGATCTCGACAAGTTCGATCGAAAAGTATAGCGTTTTTGGTCCTGGACCAAGATTTCGAAATATTGGGTTTCAGAATCAGATTTTTAAAATGTGTCAAAAATCGTAATATTTAATTTTTGCGATTCGGGGAAAATAGTTGGGAGTACAATTTTAGAAGAAATAACGGCAAAAAAACACTTGAAGAGGTCGAAGTCAGCAACAGGAACTCTTTAGAGAACTATCGAAATGCTCAAGAAAAGTTTTTACATTATAAAAACGTATTGTCTGTTCAAAATTGAAAGACCACTCAAAAAAACCAAAGATTAAGCCGCACCCACCCTAATCAACAAAAGACGGTGAGTAATTTTCGAAAAAACTCGGGAAAAGGTCAAAATCTTCATACGACAAGGTTTTAAAAAATTGAGCTTTTGGGAAAATTGACTAAAAATCCATAAAAAATCTGAGATGTAGATCTCGACAAGTACAATCAAAAAGTATAGCGCTTTGATAGTCCTGCACCAAGACCTGCGAACTATTCGGTTTCAGAGTCAATTTTTTAAAATATCTCAAAAATCCTATCGTTTCATTTTGCGAATCTGGAAAAATAGTTGAAATTTTAGAGGAAATAAAGCCTAAAAACACTTAGGAGGTCGAAATCAGAAAGAGGATCGCTTGAGAAATTTCGAAATGCTCAGGAAAATGTCAAAAATTTCATATGGGAAGGTATTCAAAAATTGAATCTTTGAAACATAGAGTTCTCTAGTCTTGCATCAAGATTTTCAAAATATTCGTTTTTCAGTGTATAACTATATTTTAAATGATCGAAGACATTTAAAATGGAAAAACATATAATGCCAAATTTCTCTGCGTATAAATGCGCATATTTAAATGTTTTTTTCTGCATATAATCCCGAGCTTTGGTTATTAAAAAATGGTTTTGTGTGAGTGTCGCCATCTGTGGAGATATTTCCGAACTCACTAAAACCCGAATTTTGTGTTGCTACGATTCTGTGAAAACCGATTTTGCGTTTTTTTTAATTATTGAGCTTTGTTTGTGGGCTCACCCACATAAAACAGTTTTTACATGACAAACATTTATTAGTTTTTTCGCAACGCCGTGAGTTAAAATTTAAATAAGTAATTCCCATTCAGTTTATAAAAAAAGAGCTTTCTCCATTTGACTCATTACCATGGATAATTAGGTTTAAACAACAGACACAATCTCCAAAAACAAGTAAAAATTTTAATAAACCAACAGTACAAAAAGTACTTAAATACGAAATAATATCACAACAAAAAATCACTAATCAGCCAATCAAGAACCAAAACGACGAAAAATCACGAATGCAGCTTCAAGTGCCTCCTCAAATGCGCGCTCTGTGAAAACCTCTTATTGCAAAACTTGCAAACGAACGCCTTCTCTCCCGTATGAATCACCAAATGTTGCTTCAGTTCCTGCTTGGTATAAAAAGCCTTCCCACAGTGTTCACACGTGAAATTTTTCTCACCCGTATGGTGTCTTAAATGCGAATACAAATTACTACTGCTCCCAAAGCACTTCCCACAGGTTGTACAAACAAACGGCCGCTCTCCATTGTGCACCATTGTATGTTTATGCAATTCTTGTCTTGTGGAAAAAGCCTTCGGACACAATGTGCACGCATGCGGCCGCTCCCCCGTGTGGGTCCTCATATGCGTGGTCAAATGCCCGGAATTCACAAACCGCTTCTCGCAAATATGGCAGCAATAGGGCTTCTCCCCCGTGTGGATGCGAATGTGCTGCGTCAAATACTCGCGCCTGTTGAAGATCTTCCCGCAGGTTTCGCACTGGTGGATCTTGGTTTCTTTGGGGCGCTTCTTGGGGGATTTTTTTTCAGGTGGTTTCTCCACGGTGGTTTGCGTTTCGTTCTCGAAGGGCATGTTTTTGTTGTCGGGTTCGTTGAAGTTGAACTGGGATAGGTTTGTGTTCGTGTAGAACTCGCGGAGGCGCAGGTCGGAGTTCTCGCACTGGAGTTTGAACTGGAATGCTACGTTTAGTTTGGCCAGGCATTTCTGGCAGACGGTGGTTGGTAAGCCGTCGCCTTGGAGGATCTGGAAGTGAGTATTAAGCGGGGTTGGGGTGCAGTAAGGGGTTACCTGGACTGAAGCGCACGACATTATCATGGTGTAGATGGGGTCTGTTCCTTCAAAAATATTGCACATTTTTTTGGTTTGGGATTTTTCGAGGCAGATTCGACAGATGGGGGCTGTGTTGAGATCACAGTAGTAGTTTAGTTGGTCTTGGGGGTAGAATTTTAAGTCTTCGAGGGTAGACATGTTTGAGGTTATGTTTGCTGTCAAAGGGTTGTTTGAAACGAGCGCATGCGCGGAGAGGGATAAATTCGTGTAATTTCGAAAAATCGTCGAAAGGGCAGTAAGTATAACAAAGGAAGATTAATTATTATCGAACTAAGAAAATAGTCCGAGTGTCAGCATGTTAATTCCCACAATTTGCCACTTAGACCTTGACCAGTGGCGCATCATTCGCACAGAACAGATCACTACATTTAGCCGTTATTTCTTCTAAAATTATACTCCTAACTATTTTCCCCGAATCGTCAAAATGAATTATCATGATTTTTGACATATTTTAAAAATGTGATTCTGAAACCCAATATTTCGAAATCTTGGTCCACGATCAAAAACGCTATACTTTTCGATCGAACTTGTCAAGATCCATTTCCTAGATTTTTTTAAGGATTTTTAAACAATTTTTGCAAAATTCAGTTTTCTCTTATGAAATTTTTGGTATTTTCCTGGGCATTTCGATTGTTCTCTGGAGTTCCTATTGCTGATTTCGACCTCTTCAAGCTTTATTTCTTCTAAAGTTTCAAGTATTTTTCCAGAATCGTCAAAATGAAACCAAATATTTTGAAAATCTTGATGCAAGACAAGAACTCTACGTTTCGATCGAATTTGTCGAGAGCTATTTCTGTGATATTTTGAAGTATTTTTAAGTAATTTTTCCAAAGATTTATTTTTTGAATACCTTCCCATATGAAATTTTTGACATATTCCTGAGCATTTCGAAATTTCTCATGAGGTCCTCTTTCTGATTTCGACCCCCGTAAGTGTTTTTCGGTTTTATTTCCTCTAAAATTTCAACTTCTTTTCCACATTCGCAAAATGAAATAATAGGATTTTTGAGATATTTTAAAAAATTGACTCTGAAACCGAATACTTCGAAGGTCTTGGCGCAGGACTATCAAAGTACTATACTTTTCGATTGAACTTGTCGAGATCTACATCTCAGATTTTTTTATGGATTTTTAGTCAATTTCCCCAAAAGCTCAATTGTTCAAAACCTTGTCGTATGAAGATTTTGACCTTTTCCCGAGCTTTTTCGAAAATTATTCACTGTTTTTTGTTGATTAGGGTGGGTGGGGCTTAATCTTTGGTTTTTTTGAGTGGTCTTTCAATTTTGAACAGATAATACGTTTTTATAATGTAAAAACCTTTCTACTATGTTTATTAGTTACTAATTTTTTACAGGCATGTTATTCAGAACTGGTTTCATTAAAAAAAATGGGAATGGTAAATTTTTGTAGAGAAATATTAATTTTGCAATTAAGCTCCTCCTCCCGGCTCACGTCGAATGAAAAAAAAAATGATCACAACTGCGATCGGGCGGGTGGGCGGAGTTTATATTTAGCCTTGTTTTTTGAATATATCTAATCTTCTTTTCATAAGAAGAAACTTAAAACATGTTCAAAATGGTAAACTTTTGTGGAGAAATATGGATTTTGCAATTAAGCTCCGTCTCCCAACTCACGACGAATGAAAATTTCACCACAACTGAGGTTGGGACGGGTGGGTGGGGTTTAATCTTTGTCTTTTTTTCTCTTAATAGTTTTCTTTCAACAACAGAATACTTAAAATATCAAATGGTGAATTTGAGGTTAGAATTATGTCCGACACTTTGTTTTTCACAAATTGTTCGACATAATTCTGACCTCAGATTCACTATTTAATATTTCAAATATTCTATTGTTGAGAGAAAACTGTATATAAATATTAAGCCCCACCCACCCTCCCTGATCTCAATTATGATGAATTTTTCATTCGTTGTGAGACGGAGGGGAGGAGATTAATTGGAAAATCCATATTTCTCTACAAAAATGTACCATTTTGAATAGGTTTTAAGTTTTTTGTTATGAAAAGATTACAGATATTTAAAAAAAAAATGGTTAAATATAAGCAAATCTGTCATAAGGTTGACAAACTTCACGGCAAAAACAGAGAGTACCAACTCTCTCAATCAATTTTGGTGACTATATTTTCACCATGGCCAACTAATGTTGCAATTCATTCTGATTTTGATGATTTTCACTAAAGATGGAATATTCTATAGTTCTGAAAAGAACTGACCTGAGTTAGGTGGGAAAGAACTAAAGCAAACACTGTGTAAGTGGGATTTATAGTATTTATTGATAGTAACTTTGATGTTCAACTTTTGCCGTATTTCAAGGGGTTGTAGAAGAAAAGTGGAGGATTTAAGTTGATTCCTACCAAAAATTACCATTTTAGACATGTTTTAAGTTTCTTGTTGTCAAAATAAGTCTACACATATTAAGGAAAAAAGACAAAATCTAGCCCCGCCCACCCGCCCTATCTCAATTGTGATGATTTTTTTTATTCGTCGTCAGCCAAAGGGCGGAGCTTAACTGCAAAATCCTTATTTTTCTACGAGAAATTAAAAACATGTTTTTGAGTATCGTGTTGTTCAAAGAATACTGTGTATATTAAGAAAAAATTAAAACCAAAGATTAAACCCCTGACCGAGTTTCTAAGAATAAAAAAAATCATTAAAATTGAGATGGGGTGGGTGGGCGAGGCTAATATTTTCCTTTTTTTTATATACATAGCCTTCTTTGAACAATACGATACTCGAAAACAATTTTTAATTTTTTGTAACGAAATAAGTATTTTGCAGCTAAGCTCCGCCCTCTTGGTTCACGGTGAATAAAAAAATCATTACAATCGAGAAAGGGTGGGTGGGCGGGTTTATATTTTGCTTTTTTGTTTTGATTAATAGGTGTAGACTTTTTTTCACAACACGAAACTTAAAATATGTTTAAAATGGAAAATTTCTATAATGAAATATCGATTTTGTACTTGGGCTCCGCCCCACAATTGCAAAAATGTACCATTTTAACCTTGTTCTACGTTTCCTGTTGTGAAAAAAATGGCAATGTATATCAAGAAAAAAAAAAGGCAAAATGTAAACCCCGCCCACCCGCCCTATCTCAATTCTGATGATTTTTTTTTAATCGTCGTAAGCCGAGGGGCGGAGCTTAACTGAAAAATCCTTATTTCAAATTAAAAACATGTTTTTGAGTACCGTTTTGTTCAAAGAATACAATGTATATTAAGAAAAATAAAGCTAAAAATTAGGCTCCACCCATACCTGCCGTGATCTAAATAGTAATGCAGTTTTCATTCGTTGGCAGACCTAGGGGCGGAGCCTAATAATTGCGAAATTTCCTTTAAAAAAATTACCATTTTAAACGTGTTTTAAGTTTCTAAGGAAAAATAAATTATCACAATTGAAATACTGTTTATATATTTGTCTTTTTTTCTTAATGTACATAGTATTCTTTGAACAATATGGTACTCAAAAACATATTTTTAATTTCTTGTTACGAAATAAGTATTTTGCAGTTAAGCTCCGCCCTCTTGGTTCACGGTGAATAAAAAAAATCATTACAATCGAGATAGGGTGGGTGGGCGGGCAGACATTTTGTCTTTGTGTTTTAATATATGCAGACTTCTTTTCACAACATGAAACTTAAAATTTGTTTAAAATGGAAAATTTGTATAATGAAATATCGATTTTGTACTTACGCTCCGCCCCATAATTGCAAAAATGTACCATTTTAACCTTGTTCTACGTTTCCTGTTGTGAAAAAAATGGCAATGTATATTAAGTAAAAAAAAAGGCAAAATATAAACCCCGCCCACCCGCCCTATCTCAATTCTGATGATTTTTTTTTATCGTCGTAAGCCGAGGGGCGGAGCTTAACTGCAAAATCCTTATTTCAAATTAAAAACATGTTTCTGAGTACCGTTTTGTTCAAAGAATACTACGTATATTAAGAAAAAGTCAAAGATTAGGCCCCACCCATACCTACGCTGACATAAATAGTAATGCAGTTTTAATTCGTTGGAAGACCTAGGGGCGGAGCCTAATTGCAAAATCCATTTTTCCTTAAAAAATTACCATTTTAAACGTGTTTTAAGTTTCTAAGGAAAAATAAATCATCACAATTGAAATATTGTTTATATATTTGCCTTTTTTTCTTAATGTGCATAGTATTCTTTCAACAATGCGATACTCAAAAACAGGTTTTTAATTTCTCGTTACGAAAAAGCATTTTGCAGTTTAGCTTAAAAAAAATGGTTCTTAGCGGATAAAAAAAAAACATCACAATAGAGATAGGGCGGGTGGGCGGGCTGACTTTTTGTCTTTTTGTTTTAATTAATATGTGTAGACTTTTTTTCACAACACGAAACTTAAAATATGTTTAAAATGGAAAATTTGTATAAGGAAATATCGATTTTCTAATTAGGCTCCGCCCCATAATTGCAACAATGTACCATTTTAACCTTGTTCTACGTTTCCTGTTGTGAAAAAAATGGCAATGTATATCAAGAAAAAAAAAAAAAAAAGGCAAACTATAAGCCCCGCCCACCCGCCCTATCCCAATTCTGATGATTTTTTTTAATCGTCGTAAGCCGAGGGGCGGAGCTTAACAGCAAAATCCTTATTTCAAATTAAAAACATGTTTCTGAGTATCGTGTTTTTCAAAGAATACTACGTACATTAAGAAAAAGCCAAAGATTAGGCCCCACCCATACCTACGCAGATCTAAATAGCAATGCAGTTTTCATTCGTTGGCAGACCTAGGGGCGGAGTCTAATTGCAAAATCCATATTTCCTTACAAAAATTACCATTTTAAACGTGTTTCAAGTTTCTAAGGAAAAATAAATCATCACAATTGAAATATTGCTTATATATTTGCCTTTTTTTCTTAATGTGACGTATAGTATTTTTTCAACAATGCGATACTCAAAAATAGGTTTTTAATTTCTTGTTACGAAATAAGTATTTTGCAGTTAAGCTCCGTCCCCTTGGTTTACGGCGAATAAAAAAATCATTACAATCGAGAGAGGGTGGGTGGGCGGGCTGACATTTTGTCTTTGTGTTGTAATATATGCAGACTTCTTTTCACAACATGAAACTTAAAATATGTTTAAAATGGAAAATTTGTATAAGGAAATGTCGATTTTGTAATTAGGCTCCTCCCCATAATTGCAAAATCCATATTTTCTTGCAAAAATGTACCATTTTAACTATGTTTTAAGTTTCTTGTTATGAAAAGAAGAC